CAGGGGGTCAGGCTAGATGATCTGTTCAGGTCCCTCCTGACCCTAGCTACTATGAAACTATGAATGTGGGCTGTACTGTTCAGATTAGATGCAGAAAAGATAAACATTCATTTGCATTTATCTAATTTATGTGTTCAGATACCCAGCACAAAAAAAGTCCTTCCATGTGCATGTGGCATCATTATTATGTGTAATCATGTCATATTTTAAAATACATTTTATATTTGTGTGACCTGTAATGTAAGAAGGGGCCCAGCTTCATACTGGATCATGTGAGTCATATTAGGTCATTTTATAAAATATGACAATTATATGGCATTTGGGCATGATACAAGCTGTAGATGTGTGTGTGTAGATTCCTGTCCATCTCTGAAAATCTAGTTCAATATATACAAAAAGCATAAGAAAGTTTAAGCATTTGTTTCCAATGGCAATAATCACATGAAAGAAGATGAAAATAATAATTTGTTCAGTGGTTTTATCAAAGGTGGACCTAGCCTACTTTAATAAATATTTGTTGCACACAGTTAGGATCACTGAACCACATAGATAATATATCTTTGCATAAAGGGATTTTAATAATTTACACACTAGAAGAATATTTTATAACCATCTTAAAAAGATCATACTGGTTTAGCATCAGCATTTAGATGCTTTTGATCCAATATACTCCTGATTTTAACTGTTTCCATTCAGTTACAAAATTTGGACTGAAAATGTAAGTTATTGCATGCGGGTTTTTGTTGCAGTTGGTTTTTTATGGACTGATTGATACCTTCAGTCTTGCAGATCTTGTACTTGTGTAATGCGTAATCAAATGAGTAATCACACTGAAACTTAAGAGGCTGCTTGGAGGAGTTGGCGTGTTGGGTTGGACTGACATCATATCTTTCTATTACTAGTATTCATACAGCATGCTATTTAATATAGGCTAGACTGAGACTTGGGGCACACACCCTTGTAGGGCAAAAAATGAATTGCACCTTACTCAGGGTTGTGCCAAAAGGTCCTGATTGGATCTAACAGCCATATTTAGCTTGGTATTTTATGTTGGTTCTTAAATGTGAAATAAGGTCTTTTGAAGGTCTGGTTGTAAATTAAGAGAGGAAGCACTTTTATCTTGTAAGCTACAAAGGCCCTGCTGTTGGCTCAAGGCTCTGATATTTTATCAACCTCTCAAACCACCACATCCACAGTTCTCAAAGTTAATCATCATGAAGATTCCCAGCTGAGTTGCCGTCTAATGCACTGGGAACATGGATCTGCACTCAGTTACATCTGGGCAGTTTCACTGAGATGGACTATATCTGCATCCTGTAAATAGAAAACCTATAGGTAGTCTAGTAAGCCATTCAAGCTTATGGGGCTATGCAACAACAGTAGGTCTACATCTTTGATTTTTTTAATATTCAGTTCCAGTTGTGTTGACCGATAAGAGCCACATCTTTCATTTTTACATAAAATATTTGGATTAGGCTACAGTGAACTGGTGTATTCGAGGAAATGGAATACCTAATACCAGATTCTTTCCTTGACTATAGAAATGAAAGTTTTGAGCAGTTCGCTTGCCTTTTAAAAATCTTGTTAGACTGGAATTGTATGTGGAAGTTGCCCAGTACAAATGTTCTTGGGGTTTTTTTCCTGGGTAGAAAACATATCTGACTGCTGAGCTGGGAAGAAGTTAGTATTGTGCATTTGAAACTGAAAGAACATCCAATGATTGCTTATTAGAGGCCCACATTCAAATAGCCTTCAGTTGTTTTGATTTGTGTGATGGATCTTAGTCATTGCCTCTGCTTTGAATTCTATTTTTCCTAGATGGCAATGCTATTATACAGTGATAATACTACAGTTAAGACATGAATCAATTCTTATAGAATACCAAGACTGCTGAAGTGTTGCAGTTAGGCTAGGCTGTCTTTAATCTTCAGTAATCGAAAGTATGAAATATTTGCACAAGGGAAAACTGCAGCTCAGATTTTCCATAAAATAGGTTTAAATGAAAATGTTTGAATAATCAGATTTAATACTGTTTGTTACTCTGCAAAGGTCTGTAAAAGGTATGGGACAGTAAGAGGAAATGTAATTGAATGCATTTGGTATGTACTGAAACATAAAATCCAAGACTAGTTTAGGACAGATTCATAAATTAACAAGTAGAAACATGAGTAATATGGGAGAATGACTAGTGTTCCTTGCCTGTTTTTTATTTAATTTAATTTGTTTAATACCAATACCAGCGTAGCAGATAAATGCAGCCACCTACCATATTTGAAGATATGGATTCAAGTACATCAGATGAACAGAGGTTTTGTAGTTGGGTATTATAAAGAAGGGCCATGTATTTTAGAGAGGGGCATGAAAATTGCAAGCACACAATATCTACATGTAAAATGTATCATGGTTATTCACATGTATGTGCTAATTACACGTACAGGTTTACAATTAGATGTCAAAGCATTTCCTTGTGCATCCCATCATTGAAATTGTATGTGTAGTTGCAATAACTGTAGATGCAAATTAACTTATTCATTTTACTGGGCAAAATCAGATCAGCTTGTACTTCTGACCTTGAGGTTTTAGTGGGCATTTATTCATAAAAAAAACCAAAACAAAAAAAGTCTTCAGCTCATCTGGAATTTAGCATGATTCACTTTGTTTAGAAGAGGCTGACAGTTAGATTAATAGAGCACCATATGCATAATTAGGCCCAAAGAAATGACAGAAATCCCTTTTAGAAGCCAATGAACAAGTTATGGAGTGATACATATAGCCCTTATCATTAATGTTTGTCTTCAGACAGTTCAAAT